AGAGTAGAAAATAAATTCGCTCGAAAGCACGGAGAACCTCGTTAATAACCTCGTTAAACAGCGTGGACAGTGAGCATATTAATTCTGTAGTTCGTCAAAATATTTGATGTTACACCATGGGTGAGCTCGTTGATACAAATTAAATTAAATTACACTATTATTCTCGCTGCTGACTGCTGTCTTCTGGGAAATAGTAATTGCACAGCGAGTAAATTCCAGAGCTTCGACCCAGAAATATTTTTTAACATAATAACTAGATGTAGTTCCAAACCAGTAACCGTAATATGCAGTAGGCAGTGTCAGTGTCCTCTGTAATCAAGATGACTTCATTTCCAAGTCTATTCATAATTTTAAACGTCCTGTAAGTAAACTAGTTACAAACTTCATCAATTTCTTAAACCTTCTATGCGCTTACCATAACCTGTTCTCTCGCTCTCTTATCAGTTTCTTTCGCATACATTAGTGTGACCGTTTGGATAAAACAAAATGAAAACAAATCGTTATCGTACGCTGATACTCGCCTTGTATATCGAACGTGATTCAATAGAAAGCTCGTGAATTAAAAAAAATGGGGCATCGGACCTTAAAAAAAATTCTATTCGATACAAAGAATTACAAGTTTCTATTTCTATGCATTGATATTTCGTTTACAGTGAATTCTTCTGAACATCTTCGTGGATCCTTAAAAATATTTTAATCTTCGGTTAATTAGGATCCTAAAAATCGTAGAAATTTCGTCTAGTGTACGGAATGAAATGCTCGAATATCGTCTTTCGCTTCGAGCGAGTCGTTGCAGAGTTTCCGTCGTCGAGTCCAAACTGACCAAACCGACCGAAACGATTTGTATCTCGGCCGACGGCCGATTTAATGAACTCGTGACTCGGTATTACGGGTCGTTTACATCGACGCGATTAAAACGACCAGGTCTATCCGATCGGACGGGACACGATGCCAGGTTCTCCGAACATTAAGCCGTGTCATTTATAATGAGCCGCGGGCCGATTAATTAGGCTCGCGCCATATTGCCAAGCAATTAATAAACCCACATCAGTAATTACGACAGAAGCGCGGGGTACGTTCCATGGGAGCCCTATCTCCTCGTGCGATCAATTTACATTAGAACAGCAGCGGTTCCTGCCATCGTAACATCTGTTTGTTCGATAATTCATGAACCTCGCCGCGGAACATTCTTCTCCTAAGTATCGCCCGTTACTTTGTCTTATTTCGATGCGCGATTCCAACGACTTGCATCGTTATTACTCACTTGCACTAGGACAACTGTGATAAAATAGAACATTGTGTCCCATGGAAATTAACCCTTTGACTGCTAAAGGCGTATATATACGCTTTCACAAGTCTATCAATATATACGAAAAGCGTAAATTTACGCCCTCCGCATCTTTTACTGTTTTACTAATTGATTCGATATGGAATTGGATAAAAATTGGATATTTTAATTTATTTTCATTTATTATATTTTTAAACCGTAAGAATGGTCTCTTAAATTTTCGGGTACCATTTTGGTCAACAGTCGCAGCGACAAACATGTGAGCATCGCGCCATCTATGTTGATGGATTCTTCCTAGGACGCGCCGCAGTCAAAAGATTAATTAAGACTATAGGTAATTTTATTTTTGATGATAATTTATATCGATGAGGAGCAAAAATAATATTATCTACTATGGTCAATTAATTGTACTATTTTATTTTTGCATTACGTGCTCACTTGCACTGGGACAACTGTAAAGGGAATGGAATATTCTGTCTGCTAGAAATTAATTAAGACTGTAGGAAATTTTATTTTCAATGATAATTTATATCGATGGGTAGCAAAAATAATATTATCTAGTATAGTCAATTAATTGTACTATTTTATTTTTGCATCGTTGTTGCTGACTTGTACTAGGACAACTATGGAAAAACAAAACATTGTGTTCCGTGGAAATTAATTAAGACTATAGGAAATATTATTTTCCATGATAATTTATATCGATGGGTAGCAAAAATAATATTATCTACTATGGTCAATTGATTGTACTATTTTATTTTTGCATCGTTGTTGCCTCACTTGCACTAGGACAACTGTCAAAATAATGAAGTATTGTATTTGCTACAAATTATTTAAGAGTATAAATAATTTTATTTTCCATGAAAATTTATATCGATGTGTCGAAAATAATAATATCTACTATGGTCAATTAATTGTACTGTCAAAAAGAATAGAGTATTGTGTTTGCTAGAAATTAATTAAGAGTATAGGTAATTTTATTTTCGATGATAATTTATATCGATGGGGAGCAAAAATAATATTATCTACTATGGTCAATTGATTGTACTATTTTATTTTTGCATTATGTGCTCACTTGCACTGGGATAACTGTAAAGAGAATGGAATATTCTGTCTGCTAGAAGTTAATTAAGATTATAGGAAATTTTATTTTCGATGAAAATTTATATCGATGGGTAGCAAAAATAATATTATCTAGTATAGTCAATTAATTGTACTATTTTATTTTTGCATTATGTGCTCACTTGCACTGGGATAACTGTAAAGAGAATGGAATATTCTGTCTGCTAGAAATTAATTAAGACTGTAGGAAATTTTATTTTCAATGATAATTTATATCGATGGGTAGCAAAAATAATATTATCTACTATGGTCAATTGATTGTACTATTTTATTTTTGCATCGTTGTTGCTGACTTGTACTAGGACAACTATGGAAAAACAAAACATTGTGTTCCGTGGAAATTAATTAAGACTATAGGAAATATTATTTTCCATGATAATTTATATCGATGGGTAGCAAAAATAATATTATCTACTATGGTCAATTGATTGTACTATTTTATTTTTGCATCGTTGTTGCCTCACTTGCATTAGGACAACTGTCAAAATAATGAAGTATTGTATTTGCTACAAATTATTTAAGAGTATAAATAATTTCATTTTCCATGAAAATTTATATCGATATGTCGAAAATAATAATATCTACTATGGTCAATTAATTGTACTGTCAAAAAGAATAGAGTATTGTGTTTGCTAGAAATTAATTAAGAGTAAAGGTAATTTTATTTTGCATGAAAATTTATACCGATGTGAAGAAAATGATAATATCTGTCATAGTCAATTAGTCGTACCGTTTTATTGCATCCTGTAAATTTGTAACTATTTTCAGTTTCGAAAGATAATTGAAACGCACCGAAAACGACGTTTAAACGGCGTCCTTCGACGGTTCGTTTAAGAATTCCTAACCGTATTGAAAAAGTTTCCCAACGTATATATTCCAATGCCTAATGAGAAATTATTGCAGCGCAATGAATAACAATCGTGCGAATAGCAGGCAGCTGAAACGATCAGTTTTATAAGAATAAAAGGGGCAACGTTGCACGTAAACGGAAGGCTAAGCTCCCGAGGATCTAATCCTGAGGATCTTAATATACGCGGTATGGTTGATCGTTATGTTCCATGGTCGCGTATTATTAAGAAATCGCCAGAGGAAGGCGAAATTATGACAAAAACTAAACTACCCGTGGTCCGTTTATTCGCGATTATATTGCACGGACAAAACGCGGGATAAATAACACCGCCTCCCTTACGACTTTTTAGCTCTAATAACGAAAACGCATCGCGGGAAGCAGATAAAGTCGTAAGTGGAAAAAGTGTCCTTATCTTCATTTTCTACTTAGTGCGTTACGGAGCCTCCGGATATTAATACCTTTACAATATACATACGTGGTAGTAAAATATTACACGAGGCAACGCTCGAGGATCTCTAACGATATATTATGCGTCTCTTCGAAAATCTAACCCACTTTTACACATATTTTTCTCTTCGTTTAAAATCAGTTTACGCCATTTTATAAAAGATTACACATTTAAAAAATTTCTTCTTTCGTAATCCACTTGTCAGACTTAATTCCTTCAGTAAGTTTAACATTTTATTCTCTATTTTATTACTTTGCTTTACCAAAAAGATATCGTGAACCAATCCAGGTTAAAACGAAGGAATTGCAATTTCTTTCTCATTTAATCTCCCCCAGTTACAATTACTTTTCTCTATTTCTCTCTCTATTCCGCCAAAAACAAATTTCGCTCAGTTACAGTTATATTTACTTTTACCGAGAACGAATCGATGGCCGTTGCACAATCTCGAGAAAGGTGCAACATTGCGAAACGATTTTTCCGTGCACTCGAGCGTGCAATGACGAAAATAAAACCTCCGCGGAAGGATTGGCAATGAGATCGGATAAAAATCGATCGCAGGTGTTCGGTACTCCGCGAAATCGAAAAGCCGGATTCGGTTACTAATGTTTACCGCCCCGATCCTAGTATCCTTTTCGCCGATCGATCATCGGGAGAAAGGAGAAACCTTTCTAAAACGATCTGGACCCCCCCCGGATCACGAATCGCGGAAATCCGGAAGCAGAGAAGGGAACAATTTTTTTAGCGAAGAAAACGTAAATAACTGGGTCTCTCGATCGGTACTTTTACAGACGCGATAGGAGGATACATTTCACGACACCGCGGAAGATCACCCCGGATCCAATCGCGTTCTAGATTCCGGCGACGATCACCGACGGAGAAAGGCGAGTTCGGCGGATCGATCAAAAAAGAAAGAGAGTCCGATAGACAGACTTTCCTCGGCCAATTCGGTATCAGGTAGCCGTTTGTTCTAGCAGAACCGACACCGGTTTTCTGGGTCGCGCCTCTCACTGGCCTATGCTCAGCCTGACAAAAGTGGCTATTGAATTTGCAACCAGCGCCTCGTTCGGTGAATGGGCTATCGATTCCAGATCGAATTTGTTTCTGATCTCGTCGAGGACACCGGAGATCGGTTGGCGCTGAAACTACCATCTTTTTTAATTCATTTACTCGCCATTCCGATCACGAGGGAAGCACTGAAATTACACTGGACCCGAATAAGTATCAAAATGCAAGCTTCCACCGAAAAAGGGTGGAATACTCCCTGCTATGAATATTATTGCAATAACAATTACCTCGAGCTGCACACCGAAGAGATCTCGCGATCTACCGGGTCTTGACGTTTCTAACTCTTGCATTTCGGCTTCTCTCTCGGCCAGTCCCATGTCTTCTAAATATCTGAAACGATACAAAAATTACCACTTAATTCTCTCTTGGTCCCAAAGTTTCAATTTAATTTAAATCAAAAAATTTTCGTCGTAATACGCAAACGACGCTGTCAGCTTATATCGAATAAAATTGTTGTTTATGTATATTAATTGTGGAGAAGGTTAAGGGGTTAAGGGGAGCAGCGGCAGAGGTTTGCACACATCGTGTTCCCGCGGATGGCCGTGAATCATAAGAAGCAAGAACAATTCCAGACGTTTCCAGGTGCAATTAAACGTCTCTAAACGTTGCGTGCCGAGCGTGGCAACAAATCAAGTTCCTCGTTTTTTTTCTGTTTCTTTTTTTCCTTTTCCATTACGACGACCGTGTTTAATGCAATTAGAAGAAAATTGCCCGCGTACCGGGGCGAAACCCACGCGAAAACGCGCAACAACAATGCGTCTAGCTGGGAACAATGGGATATGCTCGGAGCCCCGCGTACGGCGCAACAACTTTGACGATTCCGCCGACAGAGAAATTATTTGGTAATTACCTGTAATTAATCTTCGAGCGACACTAGACGCAGCGACGGTAATCATTTCGACAAAGCATCTTCGCTATTAATCACGCGACTGATAAAATTAAGGATCGAGACAACTGTAGCACCTGTTTGATAGACTCATTATCTGACCCAGACTCAAGTTTAAACGTTAGAAGGTCCACATTTTAAGAAATATCGTATACAAAGAATCTTGACTATTAATCACGCACTGATAAAATTCAGGATCGAGACAACTATAGCACCTGTTTGATAGACTCATCACTAGACTGCAGATCTTTATGCAAATTCACATTTTTATTAATAGAATTAATGAAACGGAAGCTTCGCAGAGAGTTGTCTCAACCCCTAAATATAATAATTCGTATCTTACTTGAAGTATTTCTTATATTTTTGCATATTAAATGCATTCTGTACTTTTTTCAGGATTAAAATTTCCCATAAATTCATAAATATCCGCAGTCTACTCATCACCTAACCCAGACTCAAGTTTAAATGTTAGAAAGACCACATTTTAGGAAACATCGTATACAAAGAATCTTGCCTGTTAATCACGCAATGATAAAATTAAGGATCGAGACAACTATAGCACCTATTTGATAGACTCATCATCTGACCCAGACTCAAGTTTAAATGTTAGAAGGACCACATTTTAAGAAATATCGCATACAAAGGATCTTGACTGTTAATCACGCACTGATAAAATGAACACTTTGACGGCCGCTGTCACGTATACGTGACTTTGGGAGCCAGCAGACGTCGGCCACTGTCACGTGTGCGTGATTTATCAGTCACCATTCAGGCATCGTACATTCAACTTATTACGTTTGTTGAGGTTACATTTATAATTCCTTATAATAATATTCCTAGCATCTTTGTGTATCTCAACGGTTTTCGCGTGATACGTGCGGCCATTAGGGTGTTAAGCATCGAGACAACTATGGCACCTGTTCGATAGACCCACTTTAAACGTCAGAAGAACCACGTTTTAAGAAATATCGTATCTTCGGTGATCTATTGTCTAAATCAATCACCGAATATCGATTACAAAAAGCTAATTTTCTTTGTGGAAGTAACGAAGAAAAATTGCGCTAGATGCTATGATTTCATGATTTTGTTGAATCGATAAGAAAATGACAAGCTGTTGCGTTAGAAAACCTTCACCGTAGTTCGACGTCATCGATTGCGATATAACCGGTAGAGCTATATTTATGCACACGCGTGCAATTGGATTTTTTTTTTCGTGTTAGGATTTCGTTATTCATTTATCAATTTGCGTAAAGAGTAAATGCTACCTTGAAAACGGCTGCTTGCTTAGCTATTAGAAAGTTATTAACTATCGAGCCTCTCATCTATACGATGCTAACTGTAATGAAACGAAGCTGTCGTTGACATTTCTGCAACAGTATTTTGCAACCAAAATTACGCGTTTTAATTGATCGATGTACTCTTTAATAAGCTTAATTTTTAATTTGTAATTTTAAAAATCGAGTGAAATGCGATGATATCGTGAATACGTAAGTTGTAACGTGAAAAATGACTTCCTGGATGCTTGGATACACCTCGCGATTTGATGTAACGTTAAAAAGTGCTAACGAAGTGCACCGTTTATTCAGGTAGCATTAAATTTCGCAACACTTTCGTTTGCTCGATTTTAATCTCCGGTTCAGAGCCACTTTCGTCCAAAGAGCCACGTAAATCTGAAGTAATTGTCAGAAATTGTGAAAGTTGTTTCGAAGAAAATTTTACTTTCGTTGTGCCCTGCTACGCAATACTTGAATCCAAATTAAAAATTTCATTCGACGAAGTTTATAGTAAGTTTAAATACGGAAATTGTTTTAACGCTTCTGGATGACGTGTTTACCCCTTTCACGAATTTAAATAATTTCCCCAACTTTCATCGTACTGAATTTATATACTTTTTTAAAAAGGATCATGAAATTGTTTACTGTATTTAAAGATCAATGAAACAACAATTGTTTAGAAATTGCTACATGAGGTAATCAGAGGATAAGAAAAAAAAGAAGTGTTTCCTTAAGAAGAAGTTAATTTATTTAATTTATTTTTAGAATTTACATTCTTCTCTAAAAAGGATCATAACATTGTTTACTGTATCCAAAGATCAATGAAACAACAATTGTTTAGAGATTGCTACATGAGGTAATCAGAGGATAAGAAAAAAAAGAAGTGTTTCCTTAAGAAGAAGTTAATTTATTTAATTTATTTTTAGAATTTACATTCTTCTCTAAAAAGGATCATAACATTGTTTACTGTATCCAAAGATCAATGAAACAACAATTGTTTAGAAATTGCTACATGAGGTAATCAGAGGATAAGAAAAAAAAGAAGTGTTTCGTTAAGAAGAAGTTAATTTATTTAATTTATTTTTAGAATTTGTATTCTTTATGATTCACTGTACCTACGCCCTAAAGACCAATGGAACAATCGTTCAGAGATTGCAACAAGGTATTCGGAAGACAAGAAGGAGAGGAAATTTTTCGTAGATCGGGGCTTGGCTTTTCTACACTCGCCATCGTATTTTTGTCGAATGCGTACACCAATTAGGGCCGTTTACGTGCCGATTAAAGCTTTCGAAGTATCCCTGGCAGGATATCGTCGGATGCCATCGAGCAGAGAGTTCAAGAAAGGTTGAAGAAGGCAGTAGCCGCGTCGGTGGAAGGACCGTGGGTTAGAGGCGGAAGCTAAAGTGCTCCGGAGGTGGCAACGGTAACGGGATCACCGATACGGATCATTAGCGTTCCCTCGATGTACGAGTAGTCGTTCGAGCCGCGACCACAAAATCATTCGGGTCGAGAGCAATCTCGAAAACTGGTCGCGCATCGGCCAGAATTTTCTCGTTTCGTTGTCCACCGGTACTCGTTATCTCGTAAACGTAGAAAAAACATCTGCTTAGCGGCTAAATGGCTACCCAAGATCGAGGGATTATTATTCTCATATCCCTTTTTACGATTCGAGACATTTATGATGTTCTCATTCGATAGATTCATGGACCATTCGATTATTATCCATTCGTATGTGTATTTTTTTTTAACCCAATTTACAGTAACATCTGTACGAATAAAATCGGTGCATCTATTCTGTGCAATATTGTATAATTTATAGGCAATTTTTACTTAGAGGTATTTTTATAATTACACGTTTATAGAATTTTTGTTTCTCCTGTTATCGAGTGCTTTATAAAAGGTTTGATGTAATTATACGTAAATGAAAATAAAATCGCAGGGTCCTTCCACCACTGTGGAACGCAAACTTTTAGCTTCGAACGGTCTTCGAACAGTTTTTACCATTTTTTTCCAATTGTCAATGAATATTGACTCGCACGAGTTTACGAGACGATTCGATATTTGATCATCGTTTAATAGTTAAAATCGTTGTTCACCTTTTTTAGAAGGATCATGGAGGTATAATGCCCCACTGACACGAGGGGGGCAGAGTGAGTCACCTCCTATTGCGAGATCAGCCGCGGTTGCGGCAGAATCGCGACCGAGCGCATTAAAGCGATTTAGCGAAATTCCCGCAGGTTTCTGTCCCTCTTTGTTCCTCTTTCTCTTTCTTCCTCGTTCGTTGCATTTCACCGTGCCGGAGCGTTATGTAAATGAAAGTCCGCCCCGAGATAATCAGCGCGACGGGTTTTTGTTTGAGAGTCCCTCGTTTAAGCGCCGACTGGATTTCCTCGCTAATTTGGTGAACCGCCAGAAACAGGTCGCCCGGTTCGATCGAGTTCGCGTTAGAGCCAAAATCCTACTCGAGATACCTACTATCTCCTATTCGCGTCTAATTCCTGCACAAGGTCGTTATTGGTAACCACTTGATCTTCGAGACACGTATAATCACGTGTCGAACCTTTCATCGAGTGTAAATTAGTTGCAAATTTTCTTGCAAAATAGAGCGTGAAACAGGTTCTTAACTCGTGCTTCGTTTAAAAGTAGCGAATACAAGTGCAATGATCTCTGGAGGTATCATTATTTTATTATTACAATTTGAGGAAGTTAATTTAACATATTTTTTGGGGGAGGAGTATCAATGTGAGGACTGAGAGATGTTTATATTTTGGGTAGACCACTCTGTATAAATTATTTTGATAGGGGATTCTCTTCATATTGTGTCAGGGGATGTAAAATTATGAGGACAAGATTTCACAAACTCTGCTTCATAGCATTCTTAATGACAATGGAGTTACTCCAAAGTTTACGAATATGGAAAGGCATTTAAAAAAAAATAATTTAGGAGGGGGTCACTTTGTACAAGCTATACTAATAGGGGATACTCTTTATGTTGTGGCAGGGGATGTAGAATTATGAGGACAAGATTTCACAAACTCTGCTTCATAGCATTCTAAATAATAATGAAGTTACTCCAAAGTTTATGAATATGAAAAGATATTAAAAAAAAAATGATTTAGGTAGGGATCACTTTGTACAAACTATACTAATAGGGGACACTCTTCATATTG